AGGTGACTGTTCTTCGAATCTTTCCCAATTGTACAGCAAAGGGCCTCTAACAGAATGGGGGGAGAGCTTACGAGGATAGTTACAAGGGGAGGGAGGAGAGAGAGATGGTCGAAGAACATAATTTTAAAATTAGTGTTTTCCAAGTGAAGATCTATAATCTGCTGGTTTCCAATGCACTGAGCAACTCATTAAACTAACCTGCTTATCGATTCATAAATAAATATTCACTTAGTCAAGTAGTATGTCATGTTGTTTGCAGTAGAAATCTCTGCAAGAATTGTGTGACAACTTGCTAGAATTTGTGATTTGTGATAGACATCTCAACACATAGCCACATGTTTGTGTGATTCAACTGTGTATAAAAACTATAGTGCATTAATGGAATACTCCACAATCGATGTTGACGTAACTGGAGTATAATATCAGAAATGCAAACATCATAATGAAATGCAATTGAGAAGGAATTAATATGTGAGCAAAGATGGTAAAGAAGATTGGCTGTCTGAGGAGATTTGTAGTATTTTCGACAGACAGAACAAGGTGATGTTTCTTACACTTGATTAGTACTGACGCACTAAATTCTCGAGGTCACACTGGTGTTTTAGTGGAAATCGGGCATATTTGAGAGACGTAGGTGGAAACGGACACATCAGTAGAGTAAATGGATGAATTGTGCTTTGACTTGCTTGTTTATCACATGAAATTGGAGTTCACTTTGAGTCAACTTGAATGAGCACTGGTATTTAAGATTTCGCTATTCCTCATGAAAAGAAGGTGGACGTATGTAATGACAGTCAGTTGGCTCTTTATTGAATGCCGAAATGATGAAATACGCAAACTAGACTGGGTTTTACAAGCAGATGAAGCCTAGTAAGTTTTGGTTTTTACAATCAAAGCGTAAAATTGAACAGAACAAAAAGTAAAATGACGGGCATGGAAATCATTCATTTGCTTATACTTCCTAGGCTTCTATGCATGTCGTAATGTTGCCTCTTTAATTCATGCATCCATTTGTATTTAGATTCCGCTTATTTCTTGTGGTGTACTATGTGTTGGAAGTTTCTTCAACATGCTCTATTTATCCATAGCCGCAGATCTCATTTCGCTTTGCTTGGACATTATGGCAGTGAATAGCTTAAAACTCTTTCTACTAATCTACCAACTATTACTACTCAGCCGCATGAAGCCATGAAAGTTCAGGTGGTAGATGACCAAGTGCTTTGCATTTTCGCTCCCATTTCCTTGAATCAAAACGTGAATCAATTTCAGTGACTTGATTGCAGAAAGATATGAAAACTTTAAGTTTAAAAGAAGGATGCGCATCGTCTAAAATTATGATTACCTATTTAAATTGCGTTCATGCGAGTCATAGGTTAAACTTGATGTGGGTAATTCGGTTTATTATGACAAGAAGTCTGTCTAAAGAAACCTAAAAGAAACTACCATTACAAGTGAATATATTTATTTTTATCGGTACTGATATAAGATATGGCTCAATGTTTAGTTGAGGAAATCAACTTACACAAATTTTAGTGGTCTAACAATTGAAATGGCTGGAGACCAAGAGAATACAGAAAACAACGAGAGTGTGTCAAGGAGTCCTATCTCATTCGAAGGCTAGACACGAGTTATGGAATAATTACTGAATGGATAGTTTAAGTTCCACAATCCAAATTCAAAATCCGTCCCTGATTTGTGACAAACGTTAGCCTAAGATTTTAAGTTACAATAGGCCAGGGAGATTTGACCTTGCCGCTTCAACTCACTCTTTCTTATCGTCTACGTGACACAACTTTTTGGTCCAGACAAAACCAAAGTCGTTACTATAGAATGGCTTCTATGAGATTATCTAACTTGAATTTTCTCCTTCCCCTAACCTTTTATATATCTCCAAGGATAAGAATGTGATTTCAATAAAGATTCAATCAGGAGTTCTGGAATCTAAAAATCTCCTTTTTTGAAATGAGTCAGAACAGAAGTGAAGAAAATTATACGAATTACCCTCTTATCTCTCGTAAATTGATTATTTTACATCTTTATCAAGTCTATATAAGGCATTTATTGTATATATGCTACAGATTCTTTGAAATATATCAGAATCAAATAGGTATGATCAAGCTTTATTAACTGGAATGCTGCGAATCTAGTTCTGATGAACCCTTAATCCGTTAGTAATCTTGATAACGCAGGTACTATGCTCAGATCCATCCAACTGTCAATCAAAATGAAATCTGTTTGAATTAAAAGATCTTATTTTCCTGAAACATATTTACCTACATGACGAAATTGAGATGGCTTATTCTTAGTCAATATTCTGACTATTTGATTCAACAGTTCGGAATAAAGCAGCATCGGTATAGTAGAAATATTTGACGTTTCATTTCATTTCAGCCAAACATTTAAGTAGCTGGAAACTAACTGATCGTACTCATAGGAATGTAGATCAATAAAGCGCACATTTCGAAAATATGATGACCTGATTAAAATATCGAGAGGGTAATATTATTACTTTGAACAGGAACAATTCTCTTCAAACTAGGAAGGCGCCAAAAAACAAGATGAATGGTTTATCACTAGTAAGCACCGATTTCGATAGATCGAAAAGGTGTATATGGTAAAATCGCAATGCCGAATACTTTATTTTAATTGAATTCTGAAAATATTGATAGGTAAACTTTTGTTGTCCTGATCCAGTACGTTACTACTTCATGGCAAACGTTCAATTCATTTTAAGTTATACTTTTTGATACTTGTCCTTTGCTACCTTTCGTAGAAACATTAAGTATTGGCCAAAGAATACCACAAACAATGCTAAAGCAACATCTCCTTTCAACCATTTGCCATATGATATTGACTTGCTTAGTCTCTCATCTTCAATCTGCGGTACTTTCACTGCTGAATGCTGAGAACATTTATTGGTATGCAAGAAATAAAGGTCAACAAGTGTAGTTGACCCTTACACCACCTGGGTACCTACTGATGGGGACCACGCTGTTAATTTCAGTTTTTGCTAACGACTGCGCGCCATAAGTCCTTTATCTCAAGAATCTTATATTAGTATTCGAACTTCCATTACCATCTCTCGAGGAAACAATTCCATTCCTCGATTTTCATTTCAACAAAGAGTCAGTTCTTGCTTCTCTGGCTCTTCAGCTTATACCAGTCGGTATCAGCTCCTTCAACAAATTTTTATTTACGGTTTCTGCAGCTAAACACTGACCAAAACTGTTGCGGCCATTCGCCTTACTTCACCAACTTATCACTCCCCATCACTTTGGCATATTGTTTTTTCTCAAACTCTCTTTTTTCTCCTATTTAATTTCCGTAACTTCCAAATAGTCTACATCAGCCAACCAAATTTGTTATTCAGCTACTCCAGTCTTGTGAAAATTTGTTTTTCTTTATCTAAGTTAAAATTTTCTTTAAACCCGAAGTAAATCGAGCATTCATTAAAATTTTTAACTGTGATTAATTTCTCAAGAGGGGTGTGTGATATACTTACCTCCACGAGGTGCACTCTGGCAACGTATAAGTCGGCAGTTGACTTCTGACTTAAAACTACCACTGTATATCATATCCAACCACTTCTACAGTACTCATCTTACCTTTTCTCTAATTTTGTGTCTCTCACTTTTACATCTGTAAGTCACTCTTCTTTTCCCCTCTTACCTCCACTTTTTCTCACTTTGACGTTCCTCCTCTCTGTGAATTCAGAGGCCAACTAAAGGACTAATGATAACTATCAAAACGCCTGCTGTTTGAAATAAAAGAACGAATTTCTCAAGATGGAATATAACATATTAAACTGGTCTAATAATCTGTTTTGCTATCTCTGAAATCATCTCTTTTGTTTTAATTTATATAATTGTTAAAATTTTATTCTTTATACCGGTGTATTAAACAGTATTGGAATACAATTTCTTGTCGAAATCATAGTAGATATTAAGTTAGCCCAAAATTAACAATATCAAAATTAAGAAATTCGAGATTAGTCAGCATAGTCGAAATTAAACTGAGTAGTCAATCCGAAGTCTGCAATGGGAGTCTAGGGAGTGAAATGTAGTGTTAACAAGATTATAAATAATTGTTTTTGCATATAACGATTAATGATAACTGTGGCTAGTAAAGAAACTTTTGAGGTGTATTACAAATACTCATACAAAATAACCTGTAGAGTTTTCGTTTCAACTGAACTGAGTAAAGTTATGTATTTACCGTTTAAAATCCTATTTTATGGTCCATCTTCAACTCGAATTGTTATGAGTGCACCATCGCTCACTAAAATGGAAATTAATAATAATAACAATGCATTCATAATATAGATTAAGTTAGCCACCAAAGTTAATGTTGCTGTTGTTTTTTAGCCTAAAAGTGTTGTCACTTTGACTGTCTCTATTACCCTTATAGGTTATTGGATTATTTTTTGAAGTTTGGGGAGTTTCTGGGCTTGATTTGGCATTTCCTGTATTTTTTTAATAAATTGAGTTAGAAATGCTCTTAATCGACACTACACAATATAAATTAAGGAATATTATTGGCTCATTAGTCAAAACGCAATTCTTACTTTTTAGCCTGTGTCGACACTTCCCAGAACATTTGGAATCTGCAAAAAAGTGGTTTTCTACTGCTTTTTTTTGTTTAATTATGTCGAAAAATGCTGTAAATTTATGTTGGCAATGACGCATTAAAAATTGCGCATGTAATCTAATGATTTATTCCTTCACCAAAATTACAGTCTATTAAATTCAAAAAATATTCTGCTTATATTCGCACAACATTCGTTGTAGTTTAAATTTCACAAATTCAAAATAGAATTAACGCGCAAATAGTTACTTACGCTTGGGATAACCTGTCATTGTTTTTGAAGAAAAAAAGACGAGTATTATTAAGAAAACTATCATACAATGTGCTAATATTCCACCCCCAAAATTAAAAGAATATAGTTTATAAGGCACTTTATTGATGATTATAATGAAGGGAGATATTAGACAGCATTTTGTTCAAGGAGTAATCACCAGGATGGAAGAGGGGGTGGGGGGAACAAAAAGCCTTCTAATGCGACAATAAAACTCTAGACTAGTGGATTTTGTGCCTACGTTTAGATCCACCGCGGCCAACTATAAGAAAGAAGCAAGCATTGATCAGTGTGAATAATATAAAAGTGTTGGCTATATCAACTCATTAAGTGTGGTAAATTTTCCATTTACAACCCCCTATTGAGCTGTATTTTAATTAACTTTTGACTAATGAGAGGAAGTTGAGGAAAAAATAGAAAATGGGAGGAGAAATGGTTGATATAAGGATGAAAAACACAGATTTGGAGAACCAATCCAACAGAAAATTAAATGGAAACTCAAATCGAAGCCTTACCTTTGGGTGAAGATGAAGAACTTGACGTAGAACTACTATTACTGCTACTAATTGAAGAATGCTTCGGATTGTAGTACGTCGATGATGACGAATTTGAGGCGGACGATGATGTGGAATAGTAAGAGCGAGAGTTTGAACTGGAACTTGAGCTTGATGAACCAGAGGATGGTCTTGAATATCGCTTCTTCCCATTATCTATTTAGTGAAATAATAAGACAATGGTAAATGAAATAAATATAGACAGAACCGAAAAATTTAATAACAATAAAAATTTTCTCCGAATTTGTTTAAGTACAATTATTTAAATTAAGCTAAAGTGTTAGGGCGGTAAATAAAATATGCGGATTTTCACATTAAATAACTGTAACTTTGAGACGAAATCAAACAGCCTTACATTATTTAACACAGTAAGAAAAGAAGAGATTAAAGTAATTATAATTTAATGAATTTAGTGAGGACTTGATTAAGCTGTAACACGAGTAAATTTAATTAAATGAAGTAAAGTAGAGGAAAAATGAGTCTAACAGGAATCATCCCAAAGCAACCATACGTAACATTCTTTCCGTAACGTTTGTGCATATTTTCTCCTTATAACATTTCATAAGTCGTAAATTTAAGATAAATAAAATTTCAATGAAATGAAATTTATTTAAGTTGACAATGTGATCAACGTCACTCGCAAAAACAAAAATCCTGGGAGCCTTATATAGTCAAATCTACTATGGCATTTACAATATTTTCATGAAGTTGCAATTATTTCAACTAAAGTAATAACGAAAGTTACAATTTCCCAATATTGAAAACAAAATTGCTTTTATCTGACTTTGTTTTCAAAATACCTACACTGATTTTTTTTAATTTATCTAATGGGTTGAAATAAATTTTCACTTTGGTGCCAAACATCGAAATTTCGAAAGTTAAAATTCACATATTTTTAATTTACGAATTATTGAATTCGCTTAATTTTACATTAAAACAAAGTTAATCTACTTCTATTTCTCCTGTTTAACTAAATTCTCATCTCATTTATGAAGAAGACATTTACATCTCTTATTTCTGCAGATCGAACTTGAGCTTGAAGAACTTGAAGAAGAGCTAAATCTAGCCCTGTGTTTTGTTCTCCTTCTTCCTGTTGGTCGAGATGACCTAATCGGGTACGGGGAACTTGAACCACTCGGGGAACGACCTAGAAGTAGTAATAATTAAATATTTGGAACAATAATTTCATTCAATCCAGGAGATCTCTATTTCAAATCATTTATCATTAATAATTAAGTAATTTGCAATTCTTGATGCGCAATTTTGAGCGATGTATATATTTTTTATAAGTTCAATTATTTCATTTATTAATAAGTTCAAAAAATATTGGTTTTATTAAATTTTATTGAATACTAGTTTAACCACTTACCTTTTCCACCATCCACGTCTAATTTGAAATAAAGTTAAATTGCCATATATTAGATTAAAATTAAATTATATTTAATAAATACTGACTATTTTTCCTTACGTCTTACAGTAGTTGTTTTCTCTATAAAATATAAATTTTTATTTTTATACTTATTAATATTTACTTGTGATTTATTAAATGCTTAAAAATACCTACTTTCAATAATTTTTTTGACAACTAAAAATCAAGTGAAAAAATTAATATTCAGACTAATTTCAGAGCAAATATAGTTTTATTTAGAGAATGTTCTCGAAGTACCTCTTCCATTACCACCTTTGGATAGATCCCTTCTATTTGCACTCTGATGCCCGCTACTCGCGCTACTTGAGCGGGAAGAATGCAGGCTTTGTGAAATACCTGCAGCAGAAAAATGCATTGAAGAGGTTAAAATGGTGTAAAATTGAACTCAAGATTTCTCCCTCCCCCCTCCCACCCTCCTTACAAGGAAATAATTCCACTGGTATTGGCCTTCGTGGAATATGGGTTGAATAATAGTCACCTGAAAGATGGAGAAGAATTATCAAAATCACTGGTAATCAAGAAAGAAGTAGAAGGTAGATGATTTTCATTCAAGGGGTTAACTAAATTCATGGATTTAGGCTTTCAGTCAGTTTATATAAATCGAAAATTAGGGAGAGTTCACACGAGTGGCTTTCGGTTTGGGGCGCGAAAATAGAAGGAGGCTTACGGTCGAATTTAAAAGTCCTACGTGGAACCGCTCTGCTAGCCATTTTCGAAATAAGCTGAATACAATAAGTAATGGAGTAGGATAACTCTATACTATTAGTATAATCGCGTATAGGAACGTAAGGCAGCAAAGATCAATAGGGGGGTGGAGGTACACACACACACACAAATCTGCCACAATGTGATTGGCAGTGGATTGATTTGAAATGCGCTCTCCCCCC